TACTTTTTTATTTGACATAACTTATTTTTCTGACGGTCATTAATAAAACATATTCTTCTTGAGAGAATTTGTAGATATGATTCAAGAGATTTTCTTGACCTAAGTATCTTGTCTTTAGGATCTTTGTTTCTTTATTTATTGAAGCTTATAATTCTAAGATAATGGTTATCTGAGAAAGAAAAATAATTTATTTTTAAAACTAGTCGAAGCTCTTGTGTACTTTTGATCATTTTAATAAATTTATATACAGAAGAGTATTTAATTATCGAAAAGTATTAAAATAAAACAATTTTTTAATAAATAATGCAAGATACTTATTATATGGTGTGGAAGTTCATATAAATATTCAATTTTTTTTTACTTATGCACATCTAGTTCTACAAAATGATGTCATTTTTTACAACTCGGTAAATTTCACGGTAAATTAAATGATTTTATGCAAAAAATGAATCATTATTTTTTAAACTTTCGCTTAATCACAGCACTATAAATAACAATTTTTATTTTTAATGGAATTAAAATTCACCGTCATTAACTAAAAATAAGTTTAATTTTGTGATGATAATGAAAAATGAAGTTTCAGAAACTCGTCAAATTTTTTATTTACTTTTTAGTAATTTTTCATCTTTTTAATAAATATTCAGATAAAAATTTTTGCAGAAAAATATTTAATTGCAAAAAATTCTTATAAAATAGAAGTTAAAAAAAAAAACATGTGAATATTCAACTTGTTTTGACCTATATTTACATCAAGTAGTTGTAAAAAATGCTGACATTTTTTACAACAGAATAATTTTCACGGTAAAATAAAAGTTTGTAATCAAAATAAATTGCAACGAACTATTATAAAAAAGTTATCATCCATCAATACCTAAAATAGAAACTGGACTTTTTAAGTAAACGAAAAATTGATGAGTTGAACAACCAATTCATAATTTTTAGCTAGACGAAGAAATACCCGAATGAAAGAGACTTCATTAATGATATCTCAGACCAGAAATAAAAATCTAAGATCAAAAAGTTACTTTTCCAGCATAGTTAATTAAATTCTGCAAATGTGATTAATCTTGTCATCAGTTGGTTGACCTTAATACAAGTGAATATATAAGATGCAAAGCAATAGCTCGTATTCGTACTCGGTATCCGAATTATATTATATCAGTTTACTTGAAAAGAATTGACGTAGTCAACGCCTGATCATAATGATGAAATTTAAATTTTATTTCACTATTTTCAGTTTTTCAAATCCGTCATGATTCCAGTCCTGAACAAAATAACAACATACATTTTCTATTAACCACTTATCACTTGTTCTATTTATATAAATGGGCATATATAATGAAATTGATGATGATGATGATAATAATAATAATGATGATGATAAAACAAGCAAGTTGATCAGAAAACCGTTGCGCGAGCCAAAATGTACGTGCGATTCTGATTCCGTTGAAGAAGTCGACCCGAAAAGGTAACCGGAGCCCTGACTTACTTTTTACAAACTTCAAGTGTTTATTACAACTTGTAAAAGTAACTTGTACCTGATGCGTCAAAGTACATAAACATTGAATAATTGAATCGTTGAATAATTTTCGATGGGAAATAAATAATTATTATTACTCAATTGATTAAAAAAAAAAGTAAAACTAATAGTTGACTAAACAAATTTAGACTAGACTACTAAACCAGCAACAAACTCAAGACTCTAACTCGTAAATCCTGTAATGAGGGCGATGCGAAGATAGATAAGCGGTAAAGCAGGCGGAAGCAGCTAAAAAAACTTAACAAATAACAAGTATCACGCGTCATCTAAATTATTTTTCATAAAGATTGATAGCGTGCTCATGCAACAATCGTATGACTGATTAACTACGGGGCGAACTCTTTTTACTTTTATTTTTTACTGAGGAAGATTTGCCGTAGACGAGTTTTCATATGCAGTTACTTATACCGCTAACGCTAGTATTATTAATTATAATTATCATTATCATAATTATACTAATAATAGGTTCCTTGTAAAATATTTGAAAGAGATCAGAGATTTAATGATAAGATTTAGATGGTCAGTGAACTTGAATCACTTCTGGCTTATTGTACACTTTGATATGTACACATGTTTTAATTTATGCATTGTCAGTTAGTATATAATGCATTAAAATATTATTTAAGCGGGCATTGTGCCAGAGGTTGAGGTTTTTCGTCAACGGCTAGTCAACCCGAAGGAATTAAGTAGCCATGCCGTCGCCAGGTATCAGGATTTGGAAACTTGATTTTTTAATAAAAATTTTATTGATGAAAAATTTACTGACAGTAGCAGACATTGGATAATTTTTTTACAATATGTGAATTGTATAAAATTTTTTGCATGAATTATACTGAAATTTTCAGTTAGTATATGTTTAATTTTTATATTACAATAAAAAAGTTTTGTTATTTTCTGTCAAAAATGATTGACGTTTAACAATCTTTTACTTTCTATAAAAAAAAATCACTTTTTTGTAAGCAATTAAAAAAATATTAATGAAAAACTTCAAAATATTTCTTGATGCATTTTTTAATATTTGTCTGCTACTGTCAGTAATTAAAAAAAATGTTAAGTAAACTGACGGATTGTTATGGGATCTGTAAAGTAATAAAAATTCATTGATAAAACAAGCGGGACATGAACAATAAAATAAAATAATAATGTTGTACGTACAGGATTCGATAACAATAACTAAAATAAAAATTTAATGACGTAAGAAATGAGAGATTATCAAACTTACGGCATTTTTATTGTCATCATAAGTCATACGAGACGATCCTGATGATTATCCTTTGGCAGAGGTACAATTACTAGTTAATGAATAATAAAAAGTACAGGTTTGCAATTGCGGCAGCTACTCCAAGTGCATGATCGGTGTCGAAATCACCGAGTGGGTCATGTGTAAGAGTTTCTTTCAACACAATCACATGAAAAATATTTTTTTAGCCCGAAAATTTTAAAAAATTTCTTCAAACAAAAATAAAAAATCCAATGTAATAAGTACACTTGTTATGTTTTGCGGATAAACATTGTCCTGTATTAATTACAATTAATTAATTACAATATTTAGACCGCAGTATTGGTCACGGTGTAGCGATGCAACGCACATTTTTAAGGCCCATGGAGAAACACTTGGATCCTGATCTCGGATTCTTAGTATACCTGAATACTGAGGTAAAACAAATAGAACAAAAAATAAAAAAAAATCACCACTCTTGATATTAAACGCTGTAGCACGACACTGAGTTATAAAAAATGAAAATTCAAGCACTAATTTTATTTATTTAAATTTAAATTCAAACTTTACTATTATTACTTGGAGAAGTTAACTCGAGTAGTCTTCACGGTGAGTGAAGGCTAATAATTTTAAGGGACTCTGATGATTATTCGGAGGGATAATTGCACTCACGAGCACTGACCGATGCTAAGGATGAAACAGTAGATGGTGATTGAAGAGGAAGGTGAGTCGAGCACTGGTGAATCGCTCTTATTATTATTTATTTTGTTTACTTGGTCAAAGACGAACTTGCTCGATGCAGCCGAGTTTTGTGACTGAGCATCAGAAACCGTGTAAGCCGTGCCCCGTCAGTAGACAAGGCTGCCAACCCGACCAATCAGTGCTGAGCTTCAACGGTTATGAAGGTTGGTGGCGCTTGCGCGCAGTTTACTCAATTTTTTAGTGCGCGCGCAAATTTGAATTTTTATATACCGCGCCACGGTAAGTTGTCGATTGTTGGAAACTAGCTATCAGCTGATGACAACTGACAAAATGGCAGCTAAAAACTGCGCATGACACTTCAATACACACATATGTTTACATACAATAATAATAATAATAATAATAACAATAGTAATTACTAAATATACATTCTAGCGTTTCGAGATCTTTCGAGTAAATTTCCGTGGGATTCTACGCCGTCGACATCGGGTGACTTCGGCTAAGTTCGTACTAGTTTCGCAAATCCGCCCGACAAAGGCCAACAAGCAGAGCCCGTATACTGTTACGGCAGTTGCAGACACATCTTTTACGAGAAAGCCCTCGCCAGGCTGTCTCGAAGTGTATGCGTCTTAAATAATCACATCATGCTAATGAGTTTAAACCGTGATTTTATCGAAAAACTGTGCTGTGGATTTAATATACGACCGAAAAATTATAGTACCAGACATTTACCTTCTTGATCGTTTGTTCAAGCATTAGCTCTAATTGTGCAATAAGGTGAAGTAAGAATCATGCCAGCTAAAGGAGGAAAAAAAGGAAAAGGTGAGCCAAAATAACATTATTTACATCTTTATATACTAAGTATTTCTGTCATCTCGGTTATTTTGACGTAGTTACCTCGTTTCAGATTCTTTAAAATATACAAATTTATTTTTTCGCCATTTAAATCTCTAACGTATGTCCGTCGGCCATTATCTTTACTATGAACATGTGGGGAATTACACGTGGTTATGTACATTACCATGGTCATTTAATAAGAGAAAGTCGGTTATAGACTCTATTCCACAAAATCCTGATATGAAACCTTGTTATTGTTTTTATTTTTCTTTTTAAACACTATGCTTCAACACTTGGCTAGTCTTCAGTCAATGACAACAATTATTATTATTATTATTATTATTATTATATTCTTTTAATGAATTTTAAAGTCTTTATTGATAGATAATTAAATGACCTTACAAAAGAATATCTAAATTCTATTTTTATTTTAATAACACACGGTACAAAAAAGAGCAGACAATCGAGTATTTATTATTTCATTTGAATTTTGTTATTTCAGATGAAAAAATTAAAATTTGAATTTAATGCAAGTAAAGAATTTAAAAATTTTCTTATATAATTAAACTTTTCAATATTTATTTTTTTTTGTATTTTAATGAATAAGTGTCTGGAACGTTCCAGATAAATATGAAACGCATGACATGTTCTATGGGTGCTCATTTTGTTGAAAATTTATTACTCTGAATTTACGTCTAAAGTATTTTTAAATTATTTTCAGGTTATCGTCATCACGGTAAACACGCTGAAGTAGTGTCAGATGATGAATCAAGCAATGATGCTGCCAGCATTATTAGCGAACAGTCGGAAATAGTGGCAGAGGACGCAGCGAATGACAACAATGAAGTTGATGAGTTGAGCCAGCAAGAAGTGTTTGAGGAGAAACTAAAAGAGGCTATAGATGGACTGTCTCAAAAAAGTGCTAAAGGTCGAACGTCCTGTTTTATGGGCGTCGAGCGAATTTTCTCACTCAAGTACATCCCATATTTTATCGAAGACAGAAAAATGACCATCACTGATTACGTAGAACGGGGTCTGAAAAAAGGACGAAGCGAGGAACGTTGTATCGCTGCGAAGCTAAGTACACTTCTCTGTGTTCAACTTGGTGCATTTGATAGTGCTGAGGCTGTGTACGAAGGACTCAAGCCCACTCTTACGTTTATTATCAATGATAACACTGCCTCTAGTCAGGCTCGAGCCGAGGTACTATTATTGTTTTTAATTTTCTCCAAATTTTTGGTGATATTTTTTATTATCTATTAGTTTAATAATTTTAATATCATTTTTTTTTTTAGTGTTGTTGGGCGTTCAGTATGAATCACTTCTTCACAGGGAATGACTCTGCCGATACTATAATTAATGCACAAATATTGTCAAACATATTTGCTGGTTCATATTTAAAAGGCAATGGTGCTGCGGCTATAGTATCTACTGAATTGGCAGCATTACACGCGGCTGCATTATCTGCTTGGACACTACTTCTAACAATCATGGCACCTTCTGATATTTATAAATTACTAGCTAGTAGTAAGACCAATAATTTTATGCCGTAAGTTTAATTAATTTTATTTTAAATCCCGAATTATATGTTCGTTGATTTAATTTTATAATTATTTTTATAGATATTTTCCTTTGAAAATTGGCTATCCAGTCTAATACAATAATTTTTTTCTCTCATTATTTATAAGATCGTTAGCCTGTATTCCCTTCAGGCATAAACAATTTTATTTTCAATTAACAGGTAGAGCCTTTGGCGCGTAACCAAAAGATCCAGGTTTAAGTCCTGGTCTGGGCCGTCCGAATTATTTTTTTCAGTCAAATTTACTTTTAATGACAAATTTAGTTAGATACGAATTGAAAATAAAATTGTTTATGCCTGGAGGGAATACAGGCTAACGATATTATAAATAATTAGAGAAAAAAATTGTTGTGTTAGACTAGATAGCCAATAAATTGAAAATTTTGAAAGGAAAATATCTATAAAAGTATTATAAAACAGTCTTTAGAAAAAATAAATATTAAATTTATAATTATTATTGTAATTTTTTAGTTCATTAGAACGTTTGCGTCAATTACTGGAATCACCACATCTGGATGTGCGCGTGTCTGCAGGCGAAGCCCTAGCAGTGATTTTCGAACTCGGTCGAGAACATTCTGATGACTATGAGCAAGACTGGGCACTTGATCTTATTGAAAATCTCAGGGGATTGGCGTTTGATTCTAGTAAATCCCGTGCTAAGAAAGACCGTAAGCAACAACGAGCCAGTTTCCGCGACATACTGCGTTACATTGAGGTATATTTTTTTTTTATTGGTAATTATTTTGATAATATTTTGATATCCGTTGACTAATATAATAATTTTTTAATTATTAGGAGGATATTGTACCAGAGATGCAAGTAAGATTCGGTTCAGAAACGATGTACCTCGAAGGTTGGTGTCCACGAATCCAATACCACGCATGCTGTCGCTTGCTAGGCTCAGGTATCAACACCCATCTAGCTGAAAATATATTATTGCGCGATATATTCCGTCTTGGTGACGCTATTCCCGCAATGGCGGTTCAAAAAACATCCAAACTTCAGAAAACTCTCATGAATGCTGCTGCATACAAAGCGCGTACTATTCTACGAAGTAAAAACCGTGATAAACGAAACTTTTTAGCACAGTAATGAATTTCGATTTCAAAGCATTAATCAAATATTCATGCTTGTTCCTCACTTAAGTTAAATTTAAAGAGTTTTTCTTTTTTTTTCCCCGTGATTATCATTTTTTTGTTTTAAAAAAACGACCTTTATATTTAGATAAATTATCTGTTTGGTAATGAGGCAACTAGATTAAATTTTGTTATAGTTTTTTCTGTTGCTGCTTAAAAATGTATATTTTTATTATCAACTTATTTTTTGTTGGATTTTCATATTGATCGAGTAGTGAAAAATATGTAAATATGCATTTTTCATTAATCTTGTATATTGTAAAATTAATCGTGAAAAATATATACTTAAAAGTTTTTAAAGCATATTAAATAATATCGTATATATATAATATTTATATTCATCTATATTTTAACTGAATTAGATAATAACTAAATTTATAAATAACGCTCGATTGATGTCTATATTTGACGCTATTATTGCATCTGACATTAACATATTTATTTCAATTAATGAAATCAAATTTTTCTTGAAATGTAATTACAATAAAAAAAAATAATAAATATACATATTAATCTTACTCTTACTCTTGAAATTATTTTTTGTTAACTTAAATAGAGTGTAGGAAGCAGTTTCATGTTTGCATATTTTTGCGTAATCACTTATACTTGATATCGAGAGTATCGATTAATTTGACAAGTTACACATATAAAAGGTTTATGTATATATACATATATTTATTATTATAATCATATATTATAAATTTAAAATGACATTTTAATCTGGTAAGAGGTAAAAGTATGTAAAATAACCTTGAACAATTTATTATACATATAAATGAATAGTTTGTTGTTTGAATTCTTTTTCTGTTAGCATTCTCCATCTATATCCTAGTATTTTAGAAATTTCTTTTTCGGTATCTTCATAAGATTTGCAAATAGACTTTATCCATTCTTGGTGCTCAGGTGTCCACTCTGTAACAACTGACCAAGTTTTATCGCATCTTTTTAAAACAGCTTGACGACGTACATATAAATAGCGCAATGACTTCGCTGTTGAAGCTATCTCGAGTAGTGTTGAAGTTGATATTTTATCTCGTATCATCTGTAATTATTTTATTTTATTTATTAAATAATTAAAATCTTTTATTTTAATGAACATATTTTAAAAATATTTACTCACAAAATAAAATCAAAAAACTTCAAAATTGTTTTAGAGGCTTACAGTTAATTAGTAGAAAAAACATCACACTGAGGTGTTAAAAGTGTTACGAGACCAATTAGTACTAACTCGAAAGCAAAACATAAATACTGGTAAAACATTGTTATTAATGAATATGTAGTAGCAGTTCCAAAGTTCAATTAATTAAATAAAACAACATAATACCAGTGTATGAATATTGGGGCATGTTCTGCACACTCGCACGATGATTTCATCGACACGCTTCGAGAAACTTCGATGCTGATAATACTTTGGGATACTTTTTATCGCATAAATAGACAACGTCTTTTGAAAATTAATTGCCTGAGCCAACATCATCGCAGCCGTTGGTTGTGCCGTCTGGTTGTCTATCACGATGCTGTAGCATGGTATTGAATTGTGCTCAGGAAATTCAATCGGCAATATTATCTCCGGCTTATTACTTTCGACTTCAAAGTGGACTTTTAGATATGGATTATTTTTGCCTAATTTTATCCATGCTAATTGCTTCGGCTGTAATTTAAAATAAATAACTCGATAATATTATTTGCTTAAATAATTAATTAAATAAATGTTTATTTAGTCACCAATCGGACAGTGCTGTCAACAGGGCTATAGCGATTTTGGAATATATGCATGTGTCTCAATTTTGTATACCCAATCAAGTCCAATACATCATTATCTAAATTTTGTGGGCTTATTACAAGAATCTGAAACAAAAAAATAATCTTTATTAGATTTAATTATTAATTAAAAATTAAATATACTTACATTTAAATTAAGAAAAACTCCAACGTGCAATAATGGACAGTAAAGTTTTGTGGTATTAATTAACACGAGTTTTTTCAAAGTTTCAGTACAATTATCACAGATATTATCCAAAAAATAAAGCGCCTCTTTGCTGTCAAGCATCAGATCAATGAATTCCACGGATCGTAAATTCTTTAAATTGGATGTAAGTTTTTTAACAGTTTCTAGGAGCTTCCCACCGGTACCGAATATTTTTATTTGCTCTGGATCGTCACGATTAGCCATATTACAAGGAAATATAAATTTCAAATGACGAATATTGTGACCCATTCCAGGTATGTAAGGATCATCACCGGGTTTTCGCAAACAAAACCAGGTAAACATGTTCATGAATTCATAGAGATTGTAAAAATTGTAACTGGGCTCGAACACCAGGGACCGAAAATTACGACCAACTCTGTAGAAACATGAAGAAGTTCTGATATGGTCCAACACGTAGCACCACCCGCTGTAGTAATTAAACTTTCCACGGGTTAACGTTGTGTCCTGGACAGTAAATGTAGACCATACTCTTGGTAGTTTAAATGCTTGGTACCAAGATCGACAGACTAGAGATGCGTAATAGCGTTGACGGACTGTTAAATAGGAGAATATTTCTTCTAATAGTATATCCGGTAATTTGTCCCAGGCACTATATACCTTTGGGTTTTCTTTGTCCTCTTCATCTACTTCGACGTCGATGTACAGAGCTTTAATTAATATTCTTAATTAGTTATTATTTTAAATAATTGTATTTTATCAAAATTTTAAATGAATACTTCATAAATATTTTAATATTTTAATCATAAAAAATATACATGCGAAAATGTTTATAGTCAATTGTGATTCCAAAAAATTAATTAGACAATTAATAAAAAATTGCGGTGTATTAAAAAATATAAACATTTACGTAGTTATGTTTTTATAAATAAACTTAATTCTTTACCTCTTTCTTGCTCGTCAAATTTCCAACAAGCTTTATTAGTCATTTTTTCTTCTGTGCCACCTAAATAGTTATAACTTTACAATTTCAGAATACATTAATTACTAGTAATTAAATTATAATAAGTTAATTATGCATTCAACGAAAGTTTTGTGATCAGACTATTGGGATAAGTTAAATTATTTATATGAAAGACTGATTGTTCGAGATGTATTTTACAGGATTTATTTTTGGATTTCCCGAAAAAAAAAACGCCTCGGTTTGGACCCCCCTAGCGGCAAAGTTGCGAACTACTCGTTCAAATGGTTCTTTTTTTTTTTTTTTTTTCAACCGTCACGGATTATTTTTTTTTCAATCTTGAACCATATTAGATGTTGTGAGTGAGTTTTTGTTGTATTAAAATGAATAGTACTTTAATAATTGTCTGAATATATAATTGAATATGATAATTATTTCTGGCGTGACACAAAAAACTACTAACATGAAATAAATAAATTTAGAAATTATTTTTCTTAAAACTATGTTGAAAATGGAAACTAATAACTTGGACATTCTAACTTTTAAGGTAAAAAATTTTTCATTTTAAACAATGAATTTAATTTAGTAAGTGACATAATTTTTGGCATTTAATTATTACAAGTAATTTGTGTCATTATTTCAATTGATTCATTTTTTTAAATTAAGTTTTGTGCTAACGTTTTTATAACCACATTTATAATGATAATACAAACAGTAGACATTGGATGATTTTTTTAAGTTTAATTTTTACAGAAAAATAATTGAAAAAAAAATATACTTGTGTGTTTACTTCCTTTACATTAATTATTCTTCCACTAGTCTGCGCTTTATTATAATTATTGACACCATAAGAAGTACTTAAACAAAAATATATTATCTTTCTCTAGAATCAACAGGATTAATCATGCAATATTTGCTTTTAAATTCAGAAGAAATTCATTTAGCTTCTGTTGATTAAATATTGCTAAATAAAATTTAAATAAAAAAACACCACGGTTTTATAAGTGTTGTCTTATAAAATTGAACTTATTTTTATTACAAATATTTACTCTAAAAAATATATTATTTACTAATACTTAGTATTCATTTTTTTTTTTTTTTTTTTAAAGAAGCTAGAAAAATATGACAAACACTTCAAATTCAAATTCGCAATAGGGATTTCCAACGGCAACTTATCAGAACATCACTATATAAGGTGACTATTTTAAACATTTACAATTTAAGCAACTGTTTTGAATAATTAAAAAAATTATTTTTTGTTTCAGGTAAGTGAACTTTAAATAAGCCAATGAGGTTTAAAAAAGTCTACATGTTGATTAGTTTATTTGGTTCACAAACAATACAAATACGGTATCGATAATAAGTACAAAAAGAAACATAAAACGAAAAAGCTTTAAAGTTGAATGATAAGATAGAATAATGACAACAGTATAATGTCGATAATGATTATGTTTACTATTGAAAGTTATTAAATGACATTTAATCGATAATGACAGTCCTCAAGCTACTGGTCCAACTGTAGAGCGTGTATAGAATGAACCCAAAGAAAATCATTTTAGCCAGCAAATCGACGACGTACATCCTGAAATCAATAGTCATTATCAATTAGAGAAAAGTCAATATAAATTAGCTAATTAATTAATTAATTCATGTATTTACACTGCCATGTGTCTTCTGGCGGCAGGGATCGTTTCTGGTGGTTCATTTAGTATATAAACACGTGCAGCTCTTATGCAAGCTTCGAAATAGTCGTCTAAATCCAACCCATCGCCATCGAGCTTATAGTTAATCCGTTCGCGGTCATTAAATTTGCTCCGTATAATGTCTATACTGCCGTTCTCGAAATCCCACTGGTTGTTTGCATAGTATTCGAAAACTTCAAACCCTTTTTGTATACGTCGATGTACTCGACACATTCTGCAAGAATAATAATTTCAAGAGTTAAAAACATTTTTATTTACATTATATTTTATTTTAAGAGAGGGGGGGGTAAGGTTTTAAAGGCGAAAAAAAGCATATTTTTGTGATTTTTTTGCGGTGACATGAGTAATATAATTTTATTAAATTTAATTACATATTATTGTACAACTTTTGAAGTAGGTCAGAAAAAATTTTCAATGAAAAAAATAGATTCATAAGCCGGTAACGTTGAATCTCCGGAGGCGCCTTGAAAAAAAAAGGGGTTTTATGGTGAACATAATTATAACTCGTTACCGGATCATCTGAAACGAAATAATTGATATGCATTTTGAAGGGGATGTATTTCTCAAGGTAATCAGGAAGAATTTTTGGTTTTTTTTTTTTTTTCATTTTTTTCTATTTTTTAGCAACAAATTAACCGCGATGTTTTGAGCTAAAATCGCGTTTTACTCGTTCAAGTGCTGCAAAAAATAGAAAAAAAAAAAAAAAAACTTCCTGATTACCTCGAGAAATACATCCCCTTCAAAATGCATATCAATTTTTTCGTTTTAGATGATCCCGTTACGAGTTATAATATTTACCGCAAAACCCCTTTTTTTCAAGACACCTCTGGAGATTCAACGTCACCGGCTTATGTATTAATATCTTTGATTGAAATTTTTTTCTGACCTACTTCAAAAGTTGCACAATAATCCACTCTTATAATTTAGATGAAAAATATGAAAATATATACATTGATGAAGACATTTTATTCGTAATGAGATTGGTCAAATATATCATAAGCATGAAAATATAGATAATTCCATACCAACATTCACACGCGCGCTTGCGCGCGCAACGTATACTAGTATGTAATTAAATTTAATAAAATTTTGTTACTCATGTTGCCACAAAAAAATCACAAAAATATGCTTTTTCCCCCCTTTAAACCCCCCCCCCCTTAACGAATTAAAAATAACATACATAGGTTTATGGCCAGTGAAAAATAACAAGGTGTCAATAAAGTACGCTGGGATCATATGAAATAGCAGGACACAAATATTGTGCATCATTCTTGATTGCTTCATGCTACCACCGGGATACCAAACAACGCCATTAAGTGGAACTTTTTGTGTTACTTTACGACCACGTTCGATTATTTCCCTCCAAGTTACCTTGAACTCGTGGCTACTCGTTAGATTGTACACGCGTCTACTTTCATCTTTATTCCCGATATAATTCCATGTGCATGCGAGTATCGCATTCACTGCAATGTCTACTGGTAAATAATCTGCGTATCCACGTTCATCACAGTACATTGTTCTTATCACGCCTTTTCCTGCTCCGATTAACAGTCCCGTTGGTCCATTTATATTGTCTGTCCAGCCTGGAATTGGCTCTTGCCAAATTGGTATAACAATACTCGGACTAACAAACAGAAAAAAATTTATTCAACATTTTTATGGAAATGAATCAATTTTTTTATACCACAAACTTTAAGAAATATTTTAACATAGATAATTAATTTATATTATTGGTAAATAATAAGTAATTATTACCGAAGAATAATTGCTGGAATATGAGGCATTGCTTCTTCGACTAAGCCTTCAGATAGTGCCTTGGTGAATGCATAAGTATTAGGCAATGCACCGAGAATTTTGCTGGTCATTGCTTCAACGACATCATCATCCATCCATTCAACGCACTTGATTATTTTGTGAGGATCTGCTGGTGGTGGGTAAGCTTTCTCACCAAGTACCTGGTAAAATTAACCCAGAGGTAAGTATTAACAAACAATATTTTATAATAATATTAATATTAATATTCAATGATGTATTTAGCCAAGTGTTTTTAAAAAAGCCAATGTTATCCTAACTTTCTCTTCCAGGTGACAATAAGCTGTACTAATGTGAGCAAACATGACCAAGTGTTTCATTTCTTTAGCCAATTCAATCATGTTTTTGGTGCCTCGGGTATTCAGCAGCACTGCACGTTTCAGTAGTTCATCGAATCTGTAATTATAGTTATTTATTTATATTATCCTTTTACAAAGCTATCAAGTTGAGTATTGAGTGTGGTTTTTGCTTATTACTTAAATAATTCAATTACCTGACTGTTGCTGCGGCGTGGTAAACTATACTGACTTTTTCACAGAGCATTATCCTGTCCTCCAATGAGATTCCCAATTTAGGTAATGATACATCACCGTTTATTATCGACACTTTTTTTTGAATAAATGACAATCCTCGTAATTCTTTTACTTTTTCGAATAACTGTAATTATAAATTTATACATTTATTTAGAGGAAAATTCCATTAAAAAGATTATACAATTAAAAATAGATTAAATAAGTCTCTTATTTGTTATAGCTTCATCAATAGTCGGTTTGGAGTAATTAATTTTTTTTTCTACCACTAATGACGGGGAAATAAAAAATTGTTCCATTTCAAATCAAATAAAAAATTAGATAATTATCAATTGTAAAGCAAAAAATTGATTATTAGTCATTATAAATGAAGAAGTAAACAATTTTTTATTAACTTCAAAGAAATTTTTTTTTTACTTCAATGAAAGTTTTTTATAGATAACTTTTTACTAGTTTTGTCCGACCATTTTGATGATACGCGATTTTACAATTATTTAACTTGCGTCATTAGATACTCGATTGATTTTATTAAACCTGAAGCTAGCGTGCCGTGAATATATTTAGAAAGGAAGATTAATGTCTCTCTTATCTGCTTTTTTATTAGCTAAATGTTCTTATATGACGACACAAATGACTAATCAGGATCCTTGCGAATCTTGTAGGTCGCGAACTAAAAACTTTCTCGTATCTCAATGAATTGTCATGTGCGACTATTTAAAAATTATTTATAATTTATAACTAATAAAAGAAACCAAATCTTCCCTTCCCGTTATTAGATGCAGATTTGTTGTCAGCTCATCCATTGCATAAGCTAATGAATTTCCGTGTGCTGATTTGCGGTTTTGTCAAACAATTTATAGGAAGTCATACAAGCGGCCTTTGAATAATAAAATTATAAATAATTCTAGCATTAATCAAACTCTGATTAAAAATTTAATATTTTTTATCTGAACGCTGATTAAGAAACTTATTGTATAATTTTTTTTTCTACATTTAAATGAGGCTCATAAAAATTTCACTTTTTTATGCCAGACCATTGGAAACGAACATCAAATACATTACGCAAAATATTCTATTTAAAATCTATTGGCTAATATTTTAAGACACCAAAATCACTTAAATATATTTTGTTTAATGCCGGTTCGCTAAACTCAAGCTTTATCACATAACAAGCGACATGTTTCGCGAAATAATGACATAAACACAAACGGATATTGCGTTACTTCTTCGCAAATTTTTAATGCGATGCAAATTAGCTTCACTTTTATTACTACATTAGAATTCTTCAGTAAGAATTTCTGAAAAATTTCTTTTAATTATTTGATTTTATTAAAAAATTTTAATCATTTCAAATATTTGTTAAAATCAATTGATTAATTTTCTACACTTAAATTAAACAACTTAATTTTACTTTTTACCACAACTATGTTAATTATAAATAATTAAAAATTTTTTTTTAAATCGATCAAAGTAATTATTCTTCTATTTTATAAATTAAATTCATTCACTATAATTACTAATTTAATTATCAATCTTTTAATTATCTTGTTCAGCATTACGTTCCTTGGTATTAGATATATATAGTATACATACTTTGTTGGTGAAATGTTAAAGAAGATAAATCTTAACAAAACTATTACATTAAAGATTATAAAATCTTCGAACAAATATAAAAATAAATAAAGGGATTGTGAGATAAAGATTTTAAAGAGGTAGAAAGCGTCGGTTAGGTGCGCTCGTACTCAGCTTATACCAAGGAATATTTCGTCATAGTAATAGTAATGTGCACGTGAGTTATAAGTTGATCTCGATTAGATGGCTATTTTTTTATTATTATAAATTATCAATTTTAAAAACAATTTCCAGAAACCAGCCAAATCACTCAATCATTAAAAAATAATTAATCTTTTACTTGTCAAGAAAACTTAAAATTGAATAAACCGCGATGTTTCTATTACAATTATAACCACGTACAATTTAAATTGTTTTTGAAGCGTAAATGTCCCTCATCAGTTCCGGTTGGTATCTTCTTGCCAATTTATTTAATCTTATAGCCGACAATCTGCAGAAAACAATATCTAACGACTAATGGCTAATAATTTAAAATTAAAATGAACATCATTTTTTCTTTTATTCTTGATCAACAAATCTGCTAAGTAGGTCACTTATTAAGCCCTGAATGACTTTTAATTAAGAATTTTCTTAGTGACGTAAGGGGTTGACCAAAACATGCAAATACCGGTTCTCGCGGGAATTCTGACCCGCTGGCCTTGTTTTCTTGCAGAATGTATCAATGTACGTATGTATGTGAGTGCAAGTAATTGATGATTGTCGGCAGGTTGTCTGTATATATGCAAGGACTGAAAGCAATAGAGAAATTACGTTACAGAAGAAGGTAACCCAAGTGTTCTCTGTTCTCTTGAGAAGAATTATCGCGAGATATTTGTGATATGACATAACAAGTCAAGTACTTTCACTGGACAATAACGATCTCATACATTACACACTGGTTTCATGCCGAGGCCTTGACTCTGTTTCTGCTTACAAGAGCATCATATGGTCCATCATTTTTTCCGAGTTTTATTTTAAAGAAAATTTTTATTTTTTCGATTATATTATGGAAAAATTTATTGAATTTTTACTGCTTATTGTGAAAATTTTCATAGTTAAGCGTCCCGGAAAAAAAAAAACTGGAAAAATTACACTTAAAAAAAAAATTTTTTCACAAACTTTGTAAAAGATAAACTTTAAAACTGTAAAAATGTTATTTGAAATTGCAATTTGTACAGTTTTAAAATATACTTTTAAAATAATATATTTTAAAATAATTTTTTCAGTTTTTTAATTATTAATTTTGGTACTATATACTAAAAATTCTATTTTTTTTTTAACTTTTGATGTTGCTTAAAACTTCTCCTAAATGCTAAATATTGAATATCGAAATAAAATATTTAAGATTGGATTGCTCGAAAGCCGAATGATAATTTTGTTTTAGTCTAATCATAAAATGTGTGAAAATAAAAAATTTTAAATATAAACATAAAAATAAATAAAAATATGAATATTTGCATTTTTCGAGTTATTTGCAGTGTACTTTCACTAAAAGTTTGTACGAAATACTTTTGCAATTCGTTATCCGTGCGTGCAATATTTTAATAAATGTTTAATGTTTTATACTAAAATAAATAAAAACAACAAAAGTAAATAGCAATAATATTTACCGGAGAGTTAAAAATTTCTTCCAATCGAAGCTTAGGGTCCTTGCCCTTCTTCGGGCGCACAAGAAGATGAATCCTTCCGATTTCAGGAATGCAGCGCAAAAATTTTTCAACCATCACTTTTCCCAAAAATCCGGTTCCTCCGGTGATGAACAACTCCTGGTCCTTAAACATCTTCGCAATTCGATCCGGCATGTCATCTATTTTTGAATCAGTCATTTTGGCGATTTAAAACGATACCTACAACCAATAATCAATTAGTATCAAATAATATTAAAATGAAAACAATAAATAACAACAACAATCAGATATTAATCTTGTATATAAATCGACATCAGTCTAGTCGACATACGCGAATAAAATACCAAGTTTTGCAACAATCCAAATCGTTGTACGGTCACGTACGCGTAATTGCATTAATAACATGCAATAATCTTATTTTATTATTATGTTATAATGTATGTGTAACAGAAACGAAAAAGTATATTTGTTGACTTTATGAATTTATTGACGGTCAGTTTTACTTTCAGTCCCATATAAGATTCTATTTACTGTTTTTATCATTCAAGCTATTAATGTCGCGCAGGAAAACAGGTTTTCACCAAATAGCGCGATCATTCACTACGTATTTGACTGAATAGGGACTTCCCAAACGCTACCTCACGTCTGAACTTTTTTTTATTTTTAAAAAAAGTTACGAAGAGGACTCGGGGTATACAGAGGTGACGTCATGGGTAAGTCCTATTATTTATCGCGTTTTTTGGGCCTTATTCTTTTCTTTGGGAAAAAACCGGCGATTAATTAGGTTTTTTTTGGGTTTAAAAAACTCGGGATTTTTACGCGATTGTTTTCGTGAAATTTTTATACATTTAAAATAAATTATCGCTGTGAAATTTATAAAATTACGACACTTGCTTAGAAATAATTATAAATAAATTTGGAAATTTAACCGCGGCAATTGTTGTGTCACGATAAATAATCGATTTAATGAAACAGATCAATGAACAAATCGAATTGTACTTGGTGAAAAAAATAAAAAAGAAAAATAATAAATTGTTAATTAAAAAATAAAATTTTTGAAACCACTGTCACAGAATTCAAAATATTCACTTACAAAACAAACAATAGTGTCAAAAAACCGTGAAAAACCACGATTTAAAATATTGAAATCTCAAAGCTGATTCGGATGCTGTGTTAAGACTTGACGACTCGAGCAGACAGTGAGCCGATTACAGACTGAGAAAATAATTTAGCCACCGAATAACTGGACGTTTGGTTGGAGTATGCTCGTTCGGACTTACATGTATTGGTCTAATACTTGTCGTCTTTGGGCCAGGGCCGTATGAACTTTCAATTTAATCTCTCTCTCTCTCTTCTCTCCTTCTGTACCTGTGTGAACGTTAAAATAAGTAATACACATCTGCAGAATGTAAGTGATTGGTGGTGAGCCCCACTCTTGGTACAATACCGATCATTACTCGCGAATCGAGTCGTCTTTTCTTCAAATTCATTGTTATTGCAGCCGACCGAGCATTAACAACGGTAGGAAGATACTTGAGTACACTGTAATTTTATAACGACCTGCTGACTCAAGATCAAAAATGAATGTTTTATTTAATTATGCGATTCATAAGACGTAATCATTTTTTCTCCAATACAATTATTTATATAATTGAGAGATTAAGGAAAATTTTGTATCTAGCGTATTTATCTAATAAAATCGGTTTTTTAAGTTAAATTTAGAATCGTCGAAAAGGTCTTGACCTAAATTTGTGTCTTTTAAAGGTTTTATATGATCTTAAGCGATAGTTAATTTATTACACGGAAAAAAATTTATTGTTGCTGCAACAGGAGGAAGTCATGTTGCAGCAACAGGATTTTCCTGCAGCTGCAACAGGAGGCAGCCATGTTGCAGCAACAGGATTTTTCTGTACAAATCGACCAATAGTTGGAATCGACCCCTTTCGATTTGGATAAATTTTGGTCAGAAGTTTTCTTTTATCATACAACGAACTTCTGCCAAAGGAAAAAAATAAAAAAATTATTTGCAAAAGATATATGCAAATTCAAAATTTCTCGATTTTTCCAGTTTTTCAATTTTGTTTTTTTTATATCTCGAACGCTATTATAGATACTGGAATGGCCTTTCGTTTGTTTGAAATGGGACACTTGGGGCTATTGAAAAAAAAAATTTTGAAAAATACCAAATTTGTTCTGAAATTTTTAGAACTGTGATTTTTTTTTTCACTTTCTTCATTTAAAGTTGTCGACGCCAGTTATTGTCTTATTAACATGGAAATGATTTAAAATTTGAGATTGAGCAACATTAATATGCAGAAATTTGTAAGTAAACAAGTACTCAAAAGAACGAAAAAAAATTGATATTCTCACCACATTATTTCTGATTGTTATTGGAAATTAACATCTGTTTGAGTTATTTGACGTTAAAAACTTTTATTGAAGTGAACAAACGGAGAAAATATATCATGCGTTAAAAAAATAAGAAATTATATTATGTGTTAAGCCTGACTTTAAGATTACGTTAAAAAAATAGAAAAAAAAGTTGAAATTAATTTATTATTTAATATTTCCACGTCGTGCATTTATTTTTAATGCTCAAAATTACAATACTATATATCTGCATAACTTTACATTATTTAGAAGTTGCGAAAAACAAAAGAAAATTTTTTTTTGAAATTGAAAAATTCGCATTTAAAAAAAAAACACAGTTCTAAAAATTTCAGGATCTTTTAAGATCAGTACAAGGTATTATACAAAAAAAAATTGAGCTAAAATTTTAAAATAGATCGTCATTTTTGACGATTTTCAAAAATTCAAAATTTAACAAATTTGGCATTGTTCAATATATTTTTTTTTCAATAGCCCCAAGTGTCCCCTTTCAAACAAACGAAAGGCCATTCCTGTATCTATAATAGCGTTCGAGATATAACAAAAACAAAATTGAAAAACTGGAAAAATTGCGAAATTTTGAATTTGCATATATTTTTTGCAAATAATTTTTTTATTTTTTTCCTTTGGCAGAAGTTCGTTGTATGATAAAAGAAAACTTCTGACCAAAATTTATCCAAATCGAAAGGGGTCGATTCCAACTATTGGTCGATTTGACATGAATTGACTCAACTATATTTTACTATCAAGTCGCAACAACAGTAGTAATCCTGTTGCTACAACAGGATTTTTTCCTGTTGTTGCAACATGGCTGACTCCTGTTGCAGCAACAATAAATTTTTTTCCGTGTATGATAAGTTTTCAGGGGAGTTTTAAAATAGATTTAAATTTCGCGATCGATAAAATTTTTTGTTTTATTTATTTTGTTTTGTACATGTCAATGTCAAATATTAAAAATATAATTAAGAGAACAGGGTAAATTTTGTGGCGAGTATATTTTTATTTTAAAAGTGATTTTCATAGTTTAATTTTGTATCATCAAAAAAGGTTTTGAGTTAAATTTGTGCCTTTTCACGATTTTATATTTTTTGATGGTTAATTTTTTAAGTCAAGTTTTTGGAGGAGTTTTAAAGAGTTGGTTAGTTCTACAAGTTTGTGTCTACCTTATTTTTCATAAAATTATTGATAATTGACCCCGTCATAGGAATATTATTTTTAAAATTTATTTAAAAAGTATACTGTGAGTAAAACCTTCGAGCCAAATTTTTTTTTTTTATTTATAAATCGTGATTCTCGACAGTCACACATTACTACAGGTTTCTAGTAACTATTATAATAAAGAGTAAACGAGAAACAAACTTATTGAATAATAATAATTATGGTCAAATATTTGAAAAAACTTTTTTTAACGGATAAAACGAAGTCCTGAAGAAATAATTAATGTTTTTTTAAAAACAATTAAATTTTTTTCTGCTTAAAACTTTTATTTGAATAAATACAACACTTAAGAAAATTTTTTTGCAACGAAATCAAATTAAATAAAATTGCATACGTGCGGTCAAAGAGAAAAAAGTCATTTGCAATATTCTTAGTAAGTAACGATGTCAATAAAAAAATTGTTAATTTTTCCTACTATTAATTTTGCACCTGTATGACCCAAAAAAATTCAAACTTCAAAGAGCATAAATTTAAATAATGAAAAAGTTTCAGCTCAAAAAAATTATTGTTTAAGTTTTTCATCAAAATTTTAACAATAACAATTTTTTTTTTTTTAATTTTTATGATAAAAAATAGAACAATTCAGATAATTATCTCAAGCTATTTATGAATTTGACGAGTTGAAAAAAAAAAACAATCTATTGATAAAATTAATTTTTGTTCTCTTCCCCTACTCTTGCATAAACAAATTTTTCAAGTAGTCGCGTTGCGTTTTGATCGGACATGTAAACTTTAGAAGTAGTAAGCAGCGTGGTAGATATGGCGGACAAATAAAATGTTCAATACAATATTAAGTTCAAGGCGATTCCTTTTTTGAGTGTTACATTACTTTATTTCTGGCTTATCAGGTTTCTCTCGGTACTTGTTTGTTATGCAACGTTATTTTATTTGAAGAAATTCAAAGCCGCTAGACCGCGGATTTCTCCCTTGGCAATAAAAGTATCCATTAAACCATCCCGGTATTTTCAATTATTATTATTTACAGCGATCCTCTTATGACCGTTATGACACACTTGCGGGCAATTTTGGCAATGCCAGATATATTTAAATACATCCTTTCTTATTAATCTTTTTATATTACCGGAGACGATCCATCTGCAATTTGGTTATATAAACCGTTTGTTAATTTATGCCCATATATTTTTAAAATGTATTTATTAAACGACATTCAAAAATTGTGTCACGTTCATTTTAATTATGAAATTCAGCGTTTGTTAATGATTAATCATTAATTATAATCTATAACTATCAATATTGTTGCTGAAAATTAAATTTTTCCTTTTTTTTTTATCCTTCATCTCATCAGTTTTTTTTTTGCTTTTTATTTTATCAAAGTGTTAAGATCAAGTAAATTATATCGGAATTTTAAAACAAGTATTTTAACATTCACTTACGGAATTTTTATCAAAGATATTTTCCGTTTAAAATAGTTTAAAAATTCATGACAACTGCTTATTATCGTAGGTCAAACATTTGAGATCTGAGATAAGAAAAAAAAAACAGCATGCAATCTCCGGAAATTATTCAAACAAAAAAATATGATGTGTTTCTAAATAGTCAATCAACTGTCATAGTAATTATCTGAGTTTTTATATTTATTTTTTTTCGTGACTGATTCTCAACAATCAACAATTACTCAGCGTACGCAAATAAGAGTAATTGCGTTTACGTGATCGGAATCTTTGCTTCTTGAAAAACAAATAAAAAAATCCATCCAGACTTTAAACATTACGTACTCTTCTTATTTCTACGAATTAAAGTCTGCCGACTTTAAGTTTTTGAACAAAACTTTCCCTCGTCCTTGAACGCAATAAAAAAGTGACGTTCCGCAATCAAATCAAGTTCAATCGGATCCTTAATTAAAAAGAAAAAAAAGAACCCGTCAGTATCTTTCTGAGCGGATTGGTCGTGATTCTTGATAATTATAGACTTATATGACGAATGTTAATACAAATAAATAGAATATGAATTGGTAAAAATATAGATGTAATATTCTATGTCATAACATTGGGCTTGAGTAAACCGCAACATTAAGTAAAATAAAATAAAAGTTTTTCATGATCGTAATAAATGTATCGTTGTATTGCTGGTTTGGTTACTGGTACTGGTACTGGCTGGAGAACCGAAGCGGTTCGACCTCTATTTAATGACGCAATTTACTTTCGTGCTCGAGCAACTTACTTTGCTTTGCTCGTTGGTATGGATTGGCTTTAAAATCTTAACAAGAAAACCTGTATATATGTATATTTTTATATTTATATATTTATATTGTGAGTGTAAGTAGTAAGTAAGTGAGCAAGTGAATAAGTAAGATTTCAACATTATTTCAGGATGCCTAAGATACGACACTCTCCACACTCTCATGCACAAATAATAATAAATATATAAATTTATGCATTGTATGAGGATGAAACTGTTGTCATGCAAAAATACTATGAGTCAGTATTTTATTTATACATAACTCAATGAATTTTTTAACTTTTTATCGAGCTGTAGACGAGATTTAATCACTAAAATTCTTCCGAGTTCATCGAAATAGTATAAAAGCAAACAGGTGCGGTTTTCATAATGCTCCGAGTTTATTTTATGTTCAGGAATTTTTGAAACATTTAAAGAGCCATTAGATGCTCAAAACTTAACTTAAAAACAAAAAAGTGCTTGAATGATTTATTAAACCTTTTTTTCGATCCATCAAAAGTGTTTGTTATTTCAAGTCTGAATGACTTCTCTTCATATTTTGACCTAAAGTGGTCCCAAACGGTACCTCTATCGTTTTGCAAAAAAATTTTAAAACTCGTTTGTGTTGAATACTTAATCAATTGGTTTTACAAACTTGATCCTTGCTGCATTTAATAATATGTTGCCGTCGAAATATAAATTTTTTTGAATATCTTGGAGTACATATTTTTATTAATTTCAAATTATTTATACACTGAGAAAAAAAATACTTCTGTTAACAACGGGTCCAATCTTTTTATTTCCTTGCACTTAATAAAAGAAACTTTACTATCTTTGTCGCACTCGCAACAGCAAAGATATTGTAGATTCATGAGTTTTTCTTAAACAAATGAAAATTTCGTAAAAAACGCTCTGATAGAAAATAGATATTTAAATAATCTATCGAGTAGCAGAGAGGTTTTTCTAAAATTTTTCTTTGTTTAGGAAGCCAAAAAAGTATGTAAAAAATTTATTTTGCTCTAATCACCATAAAAATATTAGCAATATAAAAATTTACTGAAAACTTAAGAAATAAAATGATTTTGAGATACGCCTTTTTGGCTATAAGAGAAAAAATTCTAAGAACCAAAAGGGCGTTTACAAAAAAAAAAATTAGGAAAACGGTTGACCCTGAAAGCCATCCCTGTAACTTCCCGCTACTTTTATAATTAAGCATTCAAAATTGCACTTGTTACGTTTTTGAGCTCTTCGAGCTCAAAAATATAATTGTCGTGTAATTTTGAGCTCTCCGAGCTCAAAAGTCTGATAGAAGTTTAATAAAACACTATTTTTTGAATTTTCAAGCGGTTGGCGGTATTCGACGCAGTTTTTAAACTCTATGATATACTTTTGAACACAAATTGATCAGACCAGAAATTTCGGTGTAATTCGAAAAAAAACACTTTTTCGATTTTTTTCGTCAACGATCTCACGAACGAATCAACCGATTTTGACCGGCTTGGTGGCGATCGACGTGGTTTTTCGATGTTAAGAGCTGATTAGTTTTTGGAGTTGATCGATAAAGCTTTTTAAAAGTTATTAAAAAAAAAAAACAACTTTATAAACCACTCTTTAGAACGCCGTTTGGTAGGTTCCGATTGGTTTAGTCGTTCAAAAGTTATAAGCGGTTCACATACTCAGACACACACACAGACATAGTGACAACATCGCAGGATGAGTCAGAGAAGTAGCTTCCTGTAACCTGAAAACGTCGAGATCTGATGAAAACTCGATTTTTGCAAAATGGGGTGGAAACAATAACTTCCCGATTTTAGAAAATCTTCGATTTTCTTAGCGGAAAGTTAAAAATTGTAAAGTTATTTTCTAACGTTTAGCTTTAAAAATTGAACATTTTGAACTTCTGGCTATGGAAATTAAAAAAAAAAATACTCCTCAGACGTTAAAATGTCGAAATTAAAAGGAAACTTCATTTATAAAAGTCTAACTGATTTCAATAATTTTTCGAATTTTCGATTTTCATAGCCAGAAATTCAAAACGTTCAATTTTTTAAGTTGAAGAAAAAAAAATTTTTTTACGTGTCCTTTTGGCATTAGTAATGGGATATTTTCTTGTCTACGGAATTGGTGGAATTGACTACAATAGTTTTTACTTAATTAAATAAGTAAATAAATCACTAATTCATCTATCTATAAAATTTTATATCATCAAATTTTATTCACTTGTTGGAATTAATAATTTAATGTCCAATATGACGTCTGTTATTTGTATTGGAGAATTAATACATTATCAATCTCCATATTTTTTTTTTTGTTTAGTTTTTAATAATTCATAATAAAGAATAATATTTTTAAATTCTGTGACGAACTAAGAATCATAAATCACAAACCATAAATATAAGTAAAATCATTTTAATAATCTTTATTCAAAAAAACAAGACAATTTTTCAAAAATAATCTTATTTATATATTTCATAGAAGTATATCTACTTATTATTTATAAGCAGTCGGTATTCAAGAAAATTGAAAAAACATGCATGATATTTCTCAAGAATATAAGAGAGAAATATTATTCGGTTAATGACTTTTGTTTAAAAAATACATTTATGTTGTGTTAGTGTAGTAATAATTATAAATAACGTATATTGATATTTACTTAAATAATGCCTTTTATAGAAAAACTTAAGTATAATTCTACATTACTTATTATAAATAATTGATAGCGGTGAATTTAAAGATGATTGAATTGATTCAGTCAATCTTTGACAAAGTCATTATCTAATTTAACTAAAAGAAGATAAAAATTATAATAATAATAATAATATTAATAACAATGAAATGATAATAAATAGAATGATTGATGCTAGTTTTCAAGAACACCGACGAGTGTTTTCGTGAAAAGCCATGGGCTTATCAGCGTGTAGATGAACCAAGAAAAGAGAGCAAGGAGTCCAAATCCGACGATCCCGTCAGCGACCCAGTACCAGAAGAATATGCGCCTGCAATGTGGAAGGGTTGAAGGATCCTCTCTAAGGACATATTTTCGGGCCCCAAGGACATAAGTCTTCATATAAGGGTCCCAATCGTACGCTTTGGTATCCATAAAGAATGTCTCTTTATCCTCTGCGGGTAAACTTTGTCTCAGTTCTTTTATTCCTTCATTTCTGAAATAAAAAATAACTAACATTAATAAAAATAAAAATGATGTGGTGTCGTGGGACACCAGGTAGGAACGAAGTTCCTTCGGCTAATGTAGAATCGACACAAATTGCAAAAAAAATCGTGCTCAATTTTATGTAGATTTTCTTGATTTTTCTCTTAAATTTTGCTGATTAGTTTTTATTTAAGTACAAGAAAGTATTTAGGAAATTCAGTATTTTAGGAAATAATAAATTACTTAAAATAAAAAAACATTGAAATTATATGAAAATAAACATGGCTACTCACGAGTAAAATGTATCTATAATGTGAGTATTCGCCACGTGCTTGTCCATGAATTCATGAGGACACGGAGAGAATTTTATGTTAACCCTAACAATACTTGTTTTGTAGATTTTACTATCTTAGATAGTAATTACTTTTATAAAAGTTAAAATGATAAATATAACAATTTAAATTATAATCAATACAATAATAAATAATAATTCCTAAAATAGAGCGATCGTACCATTTACTATCGAGATGGTTACATTTACCATCACAAGTAGTTAAAGTTACCAATAGTATTATGCTATTCAGTAAAAGTAAGCACTGAATTAATATCAACAACATTATCAATAATAGAATAATAATAATCTATATTATTATGAGAATAAGCAAAATTTTGTGGCCAGGGTATTTATATGCCAGGGCATGTGGGTACTCAAATGAAAGCTCTTGATGAGTGTAATATCGGGATGAGCTTACATCTTAAAAAATATCAATAATTAAGAAATGACCTTGTATCTTGTGAAATATTGACATTTTTAAAGATATAAGCTCATTTCGATGTTACACCCATCGAGAGCTTTCATTTGATTACGCACATACATTTTTGATATATTTTTCATATTTACATATATATAATATATAAAATATATGAAAAATTGATGTGGGTACTCAAATGAAAGGACTCGATGAGTGTAACATCGGAATGAGCTTATATCTTAAAAAATGTCAATAGTTCAAAAGATACAAGGTCATTTCTTGATTATTGATATTTTTTAAGATGTAACCTCATCCCGATATTACAATCATCAAGAGCTTTCATTTGAGTACCCACATCAATTTTGCATATATTTATATATATCATATATATGTATATATGAAAAATATATCAAAAATACATGTGGGTACTC